GTGGTAAGTATTATTTTATTTCTATTTTTTATTATTTATTGAGAATAGGCCAGATAGTGTTGTGTGATAAATAATTAATAATCACGGATTTGACGTATGAGATAATAAAGACTTATGTTGTTTTGTTTTATAAAGTAAAATAATTTTTCAAAAACGATTGTAAGACAGTATGTATGTTGGTCCTTTTTTCGAGTCAGCGCAACTGAGCACTTTTACTCTTTGATAGCTTGGGGTATTATAGGGTCCCACTCATCTCATTGACTAATTTATGTATTCCTGATAAGTTTCATGATTATTCAGTGATTGATCTAAGATCTGCCCCCCCCCCGTACCTCCCCGTGCGGAGAGTGATTACTCTAAGATTAGATAGTGCTAAGTAGGATAGCCTGTCAGTTTTCGCATATAATTTCATGGCTCTGTCCCTTATGTATTTTTTGAACGGGTCTATTCTAAGGTCTCTTAGCATGTCGTTTGTGCGGATGTACCAAGGCACTTTGAAGAGTCTTCGGAGAGCCTGACTTTGAGCAATTTGTAGCTTTTGTATAGTAGAATCGGCAGCTTTGCTATACGCGACACACCAATAAAGTAATGCTGGTCTAATTATCTGACTATAGATCAGTAAGACAGTATTACTACACTTTTATTTGCATGAATTCTGAAATGTTTGGATATTATTATATATACCAACATATAGCTCAGTACTGTTTGTCATAGAATACCTGTTATATCATTTTAACATGGATTATTACACACGAAAAGTTCTTCGTATATATGATGATAAACACCCTTTGTTATGTTCCTAATCAGACACATCACAGTGATTATAAAAATAAATTTTTTTTGTATAATTAAATTATTTAATGTTTTTTACTGTGTATTATCGAATTCCATTTTGTGAGTTTATTCTTAAACTTAAACTTTAAATTATAGAAATATCGAAATATATAACCCCTCAAAATTTTACAGTTTCTTATCAGACCTACTGCAATGTGGTAAATTTTATTTAATAAAAGATAAAACCATTTTAAAAATTTTAAATATAAATACATAATAGCAATGGAAAATTATAAGCGTCTGAGTAGAGGTAAAAATATGTTAAAACATTTATTAGCAGACTTTAATCTAGTAATATGTATGAATATACATGTATATTATAAAGAAATAGATTATTGTATCCACATATATTTATATATTTTAAATTGTTTTTATAGATCCTAAATCCCCGTTCACACCATTAACTCCTCTATCCCCAACAAACGCAATCTCGTTTATTTTTGACTTTGGAAAGAACAAAATCAATCAATTATCGCACACACCGAAAACGGCTTATAGACCGACTACCCCCACTGTATGTCCGTGCAGAAGAGGCTCACCAGTGAAGCAGAAGACGTTGTTTAAAACTGAGAAATATTTAGCGGTTACACCTAATACGTCAAAAACAAATTCCAGCTCGAAAAGACAATGTGGATGTCAGGCTAAATGTCCACAGGTGAGATATATCAAAGGCTCACCAGTTAAGACGAAACCATTATCCAAGCAAATGATTATGGCACTTGATTCGAATCAACTCAGTAATTATAAACAGTTTTGTGAACGTGAAGAAATTGATATTTCGGTTTTAGTGGATTTAACAATAAGTGATCTCGATAAATTAGGTCTTAACTGTGGTGAAATCAGTAAATTTATGAAAGCTATTGATTATGCAAAAAAAAACTTCGATTGTTAAATAAAATAATAGTCATAAAATATTTTAATGAAACTTTAAGAAATTTGTATTGTTTATGATTTGTGATGTGTAATATATTTATTTTGTTTGTTAAATATTTGTGAAATATTAGTTTTAAGTATTTAGTAATAGTAATTATAACACAAATATACAAAAAAATTGTTTTTTTTTTAATTTTCTCACATCAAGCATAAATTTTTTAATACTGATATTTATTAAATAATTTTTATATAAATTTATTAAATATTTTTTCCAATTTCGTAAACTCTTAAACAATAAGAGAATGAGAACTTTCAATGTAACTCTTCGTTATATTAACTCCTCTTTAAACACCATAGTTCTTAATGGATTAGTGTTTTTATAATAAATGCGTTCCATTTTGTTCGACCGAATGAGACGGCTTCTTAATCACGCACACACATCTTGTTAAGATCGTCTACTTAATCACCGCTCCTCGGCCTTCCTATATTATGTTGATCAACCGGTGAGAGTCCTTATAAGCGCTGTGGTAAATCCATTTCTAGCCATCTAAAACTCTGGATTTAATTCAATTTATCCTATACTGATCTATTATTATATTACCGACTTTTGTTGACAAGGATGAAAAAATATTTTATTAAATAGTTTGTTTTAGAAATGCTTTCACATAATATTAGTTTTAATTTATAATTTAATTTTGCTCAAGTATTTCATTCTAGTCATAACTATTAATGAAGACATCAACTCTGTTATATTGTTACCTTTCAAAATCTGAAATAATTTTATGAAATATGTTAGGTGAACAGCTTAGAAAACAGAAATAGGTGGTATTTATATAGTATACGATTTTAATTTAATTTTATTGATATACTATTTGTTATGTCATTCTTTTTGAAGAGTATACGACAAGATTATATCGAGGATTAGTTATATTTTCTAAGCTGAAGGCTGATACATAGTTTTAGATATAACAGCTAACAATTTTTAGAGCTGCTTTAAAGTTTCCGATTCGTTGATTATACTGTATATTTTTTCCTCTGTGCTCAAAATTTTAGCTTCTGAAGCTTTGTAACTGTGACGGCCTCAGATTCATATCATAGTTCTGCATACTTTTTCCTCCTGGCAATGGCAAAATATTATAGTATGTAAATGTGGCTCCGATCAACAATTGGCACCACTGATAATAAGTGCCAGCCTTATGTCTACTTTTTATTTATATAATTACTAATACTATTATTACCATTATTATTACTAATACTACTATACTATTATTAATATTACTATTAGTTGTATTATTTTTGTATTATTAATATCATTAGCACCCCTACGCTACCTTGATACCTTTACCACATTTGCCTGTAGTTCACTAACCAACTGACTAGCCAATTCTCGAGGCCATGTCAGTTAGACATGCAGTTTTTTGACCCTTTGTTGACCCTACGGTAGTGTCTAGGTGAAATGCGTAAGCGGAAACTGTAAGAGGACTGAGAACATAACACTGTTTTCTAATATCTGTTGAAGTTTTCTTTAGTGTGAGGAAATCGATGCAAAATACATTTTTTTGATTCCATTAATTTTTATGGTCATATAAAAATTTTTGTTGAAGTATTCTTTGTGGATTTGTATTTGTATATAGGATCTTAAATTCGATCCCCTTATTGGTCTTTTTCGGCTATAGCTTTAGTATTCCATACGCAATACCAGGTTATTAAAGTAGAGCATTAAAACTAACTTGATTTAGAATTTGCTACGGAAGGCAAAGAGAGGTGCGAAAATACAGCAATGTGACGTAAGATCATAAGATCATAGAGAACTAGAGAAACTGAAATAAAGTAGAATAATTAGATTATCTATGTATACAATTATAATAAAAATTTGATATTTCAAAATAAATATTAAATTAAAGTATGATAAATAAAGAAGTGTTGAACTTTAAGTGGAGTGCATTGGAGGACTTACTTTTGAGTACATTTCCAATCAGCAATCTACCTCTTTTATTGCAAAAAATTAAAACCATGTCTCCATAATTATGTAAAAATAGAAATAAAATTTAATTTACAATTCTTAGAATTTAAATTTGTTTATATTTTAAATTTTTATAACTTTTAATATATTCAATATTCAATAATTTGCTATGCAGACAAATTTATGGAGGTCAAAGACTTTCTTTTACGATTCAAATTTCAAGTTTAGTTTATTATCTAAAATCAGTGATAGCATTTGGCAAATTAATGTAAACAAACAAAAAAAATTTATTTTAATATTCAAATATTTAATATCAATACTAATTGAACAAAATAAATGGATGCCTTACATTCAGTTTTAGAGGGTTCTGGGAAAAAATTTAATACAATATATATTATAAATGTGTAGAAAGTTGGAGTTTCAAATTAAAAATTAATGAATTTTTTACACATAAAATATTAATGTTTATTTTTATATATATATTTTGTATACACGAAGTCAAAATAAAAACATTAACACTGTGAGTTATGCTAACCTACAATACTTGGTTAGGCTAGCCTACTGTACGCATGTCCACTCGAGCCTGCATAAAGGCCCCGGCCAATATTGATTCTTATAAAAAGACTCCAATATATCTTCGTTAAGACTATAAATAAAGCCTCAATTAATTCGAATCTTTACATTGTATAGGTTAGTATGTAGAGTGCAAAATAAAGATATAACCGTAGTTCATTAAACCTTAAATTAATAATTTTTAAAAAATTAGAACAATTTATTAAATCGCAAAAAAAACTTGATTTTTATACATTTAAAAAGAAATATGACTCCAATAGGTAAAAAACATTTTTGAAGGTTATTTTTCGAGAAAAATAAATATATTTTTTTTAATATTAAAATATATAACATTTCATCATTTTATGAAAATTTTAGATTTTTGT